TTTAACAAATAAAAGCTCTATTTATTTTACTCGTTTAAGTTTAAAATTTAAATTTTATTATAATAATAAATTTTTAAAAATAATTATATTTAATTTTTTTACTATAATAAAATTTTTTTACATAAAATTACTCTCAAACTCACGAACTAAGTAGGTCCAAACTTTTTAGCTTACAAAAATTAGATGCCGTTCTAATCCGGTGCCAGGCTGCAGACTAAGCCATAATTTACGTGATTTTTTCTTCTTTTTGCAATTTTATATTTAATATGATATGATGGGTGTGAGTCACCGTCCTAATCCTATCCTATCCATTAAAAAAACAAAAAAAAAACGTGTTTAAACGACAAAATTGAAGAAAAGGAGTGTGAATGCTTGCTCTTTTTTTTTTTTTAAGCGTCATAGTTTCTATTTCTGTTCTCTCTCTCATTCAGCCATGATAATTCCACATATCAAGGAAAGATAGCCTACAATGAACAATCTACATGCATGTGTTATGTAGGTTCTCGCATGACTGGATCGATTTTTCGCATGACTGGATCGATTTTTTCTCTTGTTTTTTAAAGTAAGGAGTTTCTCTGATAATATTTGAAGAAATAGGTTATTGATAATGTTTTATTTTTCAATCATTAAATTTGTATAAAAAATTATATGTTTTACATATTATTTTTAATTTAATGTGATTTTAACAAATTTTAATGATGAGAAACTAACACTACTAATAAAAAAGTTTACTGGATAAAATTATTTTAAAGAAAATGTAAATGTCATTTAGCTCGAGACAAGGAGAGCGGAAAATATCAAAAGAGTTGGAATGATAGTAACATAAATGATAAAAATGATTATAATGATCTTCATGGGCTAGACTTGAAAAAATAGATTGTACTGATTTGTTTGAATAGTACATATTTATTTTACTATTTGTTTGTAATTATTTTTAAGGAGTTTATCTGGCAGTCTGTTCTATCGGTAGTTTTAATTTTTAACCGTTAAATCTTGTTAAAATCACATTAAATTAAAAAATATACTAAATAAACATATTTTAATACGAATATGACAGCTCTATTTTTATAGGGACTACCGTAAATATGTGTAGTGGTTTGTTTGATGTACCCATCAAAGATAGCCAATTTATCATAAGCTATCGAAGAGCAATAATGTAAATATTAGTAAAGTGCTAAAGGTACTCAAGGTTAGATAGTCGAATGCAAAGTTTCTTGAGTTACAAATAATTTATTTAAATATAAAATTGTTGGCTATTAGAACAATCGTAGATATTTATATGATGAGGTGATAAATATGCAT